TGGCCCTTGTGGTCTCTTCCAATTCTATCATTCTATGATTCTATGATTCTAAAGGGATGTAATGGGGCATTATCTATTTGTATTACCAGAAGTATAGGGATAGAGATATCAGTCGGGTTAGCTTTCTGGTGTGTGTGGTTTTTGTTAAACCTCCTCTTCCACATAAAAAGACATTAGCAAATACTGTAGTTTGAACATAAACTGAAATCAAATCCCATCCATTTGCAACAAACAGATTCCATGAGTACAGATATTCCCAGGATAGAAAGGACCATGCTTAGCCTATATAAGAAGCCTCTTAGAGTCAGTACTCACATGGTTGAAAACACAACAATTTAAACTGAGACTTTTATGAGTAAACACTCATGGTACTGGGGCCATCAGTTCTAGTTTCATCCACTTTATTTTTTTTAATCATTTTTTTCTATTCAGAATGGAAAGAAATTTATGAAATGTGTGAATTATTAGTAAAAGGCGGGTGGGAAGAGAATTCTTAGCTATCCCCAGATCTCTTTTCTTCAGGCTTACACTGCATAAGTCCTCTACTTATTTGGGTAAGTCTGATCACCTGGTTTAGAATATTTCAAAATCTAATCAGTTATAGCTCTGGCCCATTAACTGTTCTCTCCTACTGCCCAAATTATATTATTATAACACGTCTTTAGGAATTATATATATATATATAATGCAGATAGGCTGATATAGAAAGGGGTTAAGGGATTTTAAAAAAATTATCCTATTTGTGAAGTCGTAGGCTTTCATGGCCAGCATCCATAGTTTTTTGTGGGTTTTTCGGGCTGTGTGGCCATGTTCTAGAAGAGTTTCTTTCTGATGTTTCACCAGCATCTGTGGCTCTTTCTGATGTTTCACCAGCATCTTCAGAGAAAATATCCTATTGTCTTGCTTCTGAACATAACTAGCATTTTATGTGTATGTTGTACAATATCTATTTTTGTTTATAATTAGAAATATAATTTAAAAACATGAAAGAAAAAAAGGAGGGAGGTTCCTGGTGAATTGTATTTGTTATCCACATTCACAAAATATTAATTAATTTCATAACTTTTGTCAATGTTGTTTGTTTTTAGCTTGTCCAGTAAAATTGGGTTTTCTGCCTCCTTATTTTACCTTTTGTGAATTTTATCTTTTTCCTTTTGCCATTTTTTAACAGCAAAAATTATACAATTTACTATTTTATATGAATTTAGAATTTTAAATATTTAAACCCAGTATTTAATAATGATACAAAATGTTACATTTTCTGGTTGGAACATCTCTGTGTGTATCTCTGTCTGTCTCCCTCCCTCTTTCTCTTTTAAACAGAAAGAAGTGTACCTAATAACATACACTTTAGATGTATGATGAACACGTAGGATGAGCTATATGCCACTCTTAAGAGTCTGCAGTTTATCTGAGATCACAATATGGATGTCTTCCAGGCCACACAATGACCACAAAGTCCAGTCTCTCCATATCTTAAGAAGATTCTTATATTAATGTGACCTAGGAATATTTTTGCAATAGTCAAACTGTATTAAAATCAATATACGCTATAGATATTCCCAAATTCATTTGGATTTTACAGCTTTCATTGTCTCTTAAGAATGTATTATGACTTTATATCATAGAAGTTTGCATATGTGTGTCTATGTCTGATCATGTTTATAACAGTTCAGTCAAATAATATGTACTTAACCTCCATTAATTTCAATGAGATTTAAATTTGCAACCATATGCCTGAATCTGGAGACTCACGTTCATTTCCAAAGCTCCTATAAAAATCTCAGTAAAATGGGAGAAGTTCATACACATCTCATTGTACATCTTTCTCTATCAAGTTTGAATAGATGAGCTCCACATATTGAAAAATGTGTTTATAATACTTGCCTACATTTGCACTAGATTGGCTCAATAATATGCAAGTTGTTTCATTTTGAAATACTCATCCTCCTCTCAATTGTTCTATGTCCTTACTATTCCAGGTTTACAAGGGAATGCAGTCAACCTAATGTCATCCAAAAAATGGACAGTTCCACTTGGATTTGAATATTAGTCTCTCAGGGTAAGTTCAGTGTTTTTTCTTTTGGGCTACAGAGTTTTCCCATTACATATTTATTTTATATAGAAACTTTAATACATGTAGGGCCTAATCACTTTTTTTCATACAGTACAGAATTTGGGATTTTTCACTATAACCTATGTGGGTCAATACTGATGGAAATAAATAAAAAAACTGAGGCTGCAAATGGAAGGAAGGCCAAATGATTCCTATTGGGTATTACAGTTCGCCCTTGGTATCCACTGAAGTTTGGTTCCAGGACCTCCCATGGATACCAAAATCCACTGATGCTCAAGTACCATTAAATACACGAGGCAGTGAAATGGTGTCCCTTATATAAAATGGCATAATCAAGTTTTACTTTTTTTGGAATTTATATCTTTTTGAAATATTTTCAAGCCATGGATGGTTGAATCAGTGGATAAAGAATCCATAGATATGGAGGGTCAATTGTAAATATCTTAGGTATTATCAGCAAGTAGGTAGCCTCATGGCACATACACATGTGCTGTTCCATTCACTAGTGAAGCAGTCAAATGCATTTGTAACAAGTAACAGTGAAAAGATCATAGCAACTATTACACTGTGCCCTACCAATTACATGCCTAGCCCTGTGTGTTGGCCTAATGTTGTTCAATAGTTCTCCATCATAATGGAGAAAAATAAGACATTTCCTAACCTCTGTGAATGTCTGACTTCATATTTTCCAGTATCCTAGTGAAGAACACTCAACTGGGACAAGATAAGCCATCTGCCAGAATATTTTCTCCTTTTATAGCTGGACATAATTTATCAAACATGAGCTTGGACCTTGCTAACTACATTTCTGCATTTTGCCAATGTTTGTGATAGATACAGACAAGAGCAGAGAAACCTGGGGGTACATGTGCTTACTGACCACTCTTTGTTTCAGTAGTTCTCCAGGGATAACAAGAGCAAGCAATGTGTTTTGAATCATAGATGGAACAGCTCCAAGGAGCAAGAAGGAGAAGCAGGGCAAGGAATGAAAAGAAAGAAGAAAAATAGCAGACTACTATGCTTCTTAAGCCAGTTCACTGTGAGGGTGGGACCCCTATTCCCTTGTATTTCTTGGCACAATGCATTATAGATCCAAACATCTGGGAGAAGGAGGCATCAGAAGGTTTGGTGCATGGATGCTTGGGTGGCTAGGTGAGCATGGTTTCCTTTTTTAACAAGATAAATGCCAAAATGCAGTCAGGATTTCCTTCCTGTATATTTAAGTTTCTGTTTTGATGCAAGGAGGCCTGTGTGGTGTAGTGGTTTGAATGCTGGACTACAACTCTGGAGTCAGGATTCAATTCCCCACTGGGTTTCCCAAACAACCCAGTGATAGGATCACTTTAGGGTCGCCATAAGTCAAAAATGGCTTGAAGGCACACAACAATAGCAACAACAACTTTGATGCACATCATGTTTCCAGAAACAATTGCCTTTTCAAGAGCAAAATTCTCTTCCAGTTCATTTTATTTACTTGAGTCCTTACCCTCTCCAGCCCAGTATAGCTCTCAGATCCTACCTAGCTTATTTTTTTAATTTCTATGGGAATAAACAAGCTATATGGAAGCTCTTCACAGGCCTCCTTGAAACAAATGGTAACATTAGAAAGGCAGTTGCACAGCTCCTGTTCATTTCAATGGAACTCTCACAGGAGAAGTTTCTGGCAAAGTATCAGAGCTGGCTCTGTTACTGGACAGCAGAGTTGGGGTGTCATAAGAGAACAGAAAGTACTTAGTTATTTCATATCTTATTTGTGTATTCTTTCCTGCTTAGCATAAAGAACAGTGCTAATGGAATTTTCTGACTCATGTACCAAAAAAAGGTGGCTGGCTTTGGGTATTATGCACCTTGACTTGAGTAGACTTGGGTGCTATTGATGTTCGTTCTCAGGCAGTACAAATATTTTCCAGCAGTCCGGCAGATTGTGTTCCCTACATCAGATCTGTCTGTCACCCACTCTGCCTTTTCACTGTACTTCCATGGCACCCAAGATCTGTTTCTGAGGTGACTGCCTTACAAGGAAGCCACATCTGAAGGCCAGGCCTATTATAGCTATTACGTATCATGTTATTCACCTGTGTGTCTGACTAGCTACCTGTCTGTATAAAAATCAGATCCCAAGGTCCCACCTTTTTCTACTGTAAGGAGGGGGGCAGCTGTGGTGGGTCTAGAGGCCTATTGTGGGCAGCACAGACTGCTAAGATCCCTAATAAAAATACAAATTGGGGAGTAACTAGAAACCAGTGAGTTCTGATTGCAAAAAACAGTTTGCTTTATTTTTTAAATATCTAGCAGCGGACTCCTCCAGACAGGTGGTTGTATGGACAGGTTGTGGTGTATGCTGCTGCAGTTCTTGTTTTTTTTTTTAAATACCTAAATGATATTTCTGTTATCCTGGATTAATTTGTGGCAGTTGTCAGCACCAGTTGAACATTTTATTCCTACTCTCAAGTGGGTTTCCTTATAATTTAGAGGCATATCACAACAATCAAGTATCCTCCCCTCTTTTCTCTCTTTGTTTACTCATAGTGCATCCGTGCAATGACATTTTTGCAAAATAGCACTATTAACTATTCTAATTAAAAGAGAGAGAAGAGAAAATTTGCTCTTCATACCTCAGCAAACTGTGTCCCAGTTTAAAAACACCTTCGGAGCAACCCTCCAAGAGGGTTGAAGATCCAACAGCTCCCAAAAGAAGGGAACAAGCAGACATGGAGGCAACAACAACCAGCAAAACCTGGCAAAACCAAAGGAGTTATATCATGAGAATTCACACTTCTTTAGACCAATCTGAAAGAGCCCTGTTTAAAAGACAAATTGCCGTTGCTTCTAGGAAGTGAAGACAATTCACTTTTACTTTTACTTTTACTTTTTTGGGGGAGGCAGGGACAATAAAAGGGCAATCTGGGAAGCCGAGACTGGACAGGCGCTGCCAAACAACCTTAAAGGCTACACTATGCAGGAAGCGATTACATACCTATTATGAACATGATTCCCTTTCATTGTGATTCTTTCCTCATTAATTTTGTGTTCCTATGCAAATTCTCCCTTTTCCTCACCCCAGTATGATACAATGTGAGGCAGGAATCAGTTTTAAATCCCGACAAGAGCAACACATTTTTTTTTTTACAACACCCCAAATCTATCAGCCACCATGGTTTTTCCCAAGCTCTACTTTCTCCCATTTAAATGAATGGCTGCTGGTAGCAGCATTGGGTGACAGTAAAGTACTACAGTTGACACTATGCAGGGAATCCATGGAATGAATACAGCCCACATACAGATGTGGTTCTGCCCACAGCACTCCCTGCAGCATTCAGGTCCCAAACCCACCTATACTGTATTCAGCATAGTGATGGGCATTTTGTAATATAGGCACTAGTCCTTTAGTGACATATGATGACATGAGCAAGTTTACAAAAGCGGAGCAGGCAACAACCAATATACAGGTCAATGGATAATATGTTAATCCAGTGCGAATTTGGTCAAGGAACTTTTTCCTCTGCATATAATATTTCATAGTCTAGGATTAGGCCAATTAATTATATTAAGGTATGGGAGAGGGAACATCAGCAATGATTGTAATGGGAACTTTATTATTACTAACTAGACTTTAAAGACATAATCTGAAAATATAGATGATTTTCCACATCAGGTTGTAAGAAATTAAGCATGCCAGCATTTTCCTTGCTGGTATTTGCATCTTTTGTTGGAAGCACAAGATCGCCCCCCCCAAAAAAAAATTAATAATGATAATGTTACATTATGGGTTCTGTGGCAAAATCACTGGTTGGCTGTTCAACTCTGTTTGGGGCCCATCAGAGGCTGCTACAAAAATATCCTGAGGGTTTCTTAGTATTATTTAGTGAAGTATCATATACGTAATTGTTCAAATGGCATTTGATTTCTATGGGATAAAGACCAACTTTTATGCCCTTATTGTTTCATTTTCAGTGCTATAATTTGCAAATCTATGCTCTCAGTAGTTCTCTTTCCCAATAGTTCTCCTGTGCTTCCCAATAGTTATTCTGTGCTTTCAAAAAAGAGAATTATTTAAAATACCAAATTATGGTGAATAGTGATCTCAGACCTCTTTGCTGTATGGTATTGCAGTTTGCGTGTTGCACTAGGAGTAGGGGACAAATCCTCTTTCAGACCTGAAGCTCACTGAGATCTGTCACTTCTTTTAAACGTGTCGTACTTTGCACAATTATTATAAAGGTTTGGGAAAGGGACCACAGTATATAATGCTGTGAGCAATATATTTCTCATTAGGATTACAGAAAATGTCCGAATATTGAAATAAGGCCACTGGCCCAATTTAAACAGTACTGTCTGTACTTACACTGCCCTGTTTATGAACAGTGGCTCTCCATGGTTTCAAACAGGAGTCTTTCCTAGACCTATCTGTCCATGGGTTGAACTTGAAAGCAGAACAAGCACTCTGCTAGTGAGCCAAAGGGATAATACTGGTTTGCACATGTGTGTAGATTTATTGCAATGATTTATATCCAGATGGGCTTTTATGTGAGAAATGAGACAAGATGTAAAACATTTCTGTGTGAGAAAAAAAATCCCATTGTCATCATTCAATATTTGAAACATTAATGGATTTACTGCTTTATAAAAAATAAAATACCTGGGACAAGTTTTCTGATTTTATTTCTATCAGTAATTTAAACTCCAGGAACAAAAGATTTTAACTCTGTATTAGCTAAATACAAACCACTGCCTACCCCAACTGATTTTACATTTACCTCTGTGTTCTTTTTTTAAAGGTAGTTAAAGAAAAGGAGCACTTTCCCTGTGTCTGATCACAATGCTAGTCTTTCCAAAACTTAATTGTGCATTGATCCCATAAGAAACTTGTTTGAATTTTTATCTCGTAAACAGGCTGTGCTCAATAGTGGCTTCGTACTTGTACATCTTGAGAAAGGCCTTCTGCCCCTATTACCATGCCAGCCTCAAGTACACAGAAAGAACAGCAGCCCAGAATGACTTCTATGGGGGAAACAATTATGCCTCTTTGTGAGGGAACTATTCTTTCTCTATGATGGGTAAGGCAAAAAAAAAA